AACATTTACCATGTCTCTGAGGTAAAACCTAAGATATACCGAGTAATTGCTGGTAAAAATTCGAAATTAATGATGATTGCAGAACATTTCGGACTTTTACCACAAAGATTTGATAAATCTTAGGTTTTACTGGAAGATCTTAGGATTTACTGTAGTTCAAGCATTTACAGTAACATATATACCAGATTTTTATTAAACCTGTAAACCCAATACTTTCATTTTTTTAATATTTTTTAAAAATTGTTGTAAGAAAAATGTATTGTAGTTTTTCTATTGCTTTTCAAATGTCTGAAATCGTCTGCTTGCTTGGAGACATTTCTTTACCAACTTCACTTTGAGATTTTTCATCTTCAGTCTGATGAATTATATATATTTATGTGTTAAATTTAAAGCTTTTCACTTTTTTTAATGGTCCAATTCTTTCCTTTACATAACAAATGCAAAACTGCTCATAGAGAGAAAACAGTCAAAACTGAATAAAAGTAGTTGATCAGAAAACAAAACAGAAAAAACTAAACTTAATGTGAAAATCTATTCCAAAAAATCATTCAAAAATTAATTTTATGTTATTTTTGTATTTAGTTTTTGCATATAAATTAAATAAAATGGCTGTAACAAAATTAAACAGTGAGTAAAAATCCATAATGACGGAAGGATGAGGGTCTGCAAGACAAAAAATAGTCTTCAGTAGTGGGAGTCTGTTATGGTGAATGAGTTTTCTTATAATTTTTCTATACTTTTGATCACTCCATAATGTTAAGCTTATACTGTTTATCATAATTTAATGATGTAAAGAATTTAATTAAATATACAATGAAAACTGCTTAGGTGACTACCTGCATTTGACGGGCACCTGTCAAAATGGGCAAAAATTTCTGGCACGGAATAGTTTATACATAGAGCCTTCATATAAGTTACCTGTATTAAATGACCACCTGTGTAACGCGACCGCAGGCATCGATTTTTGGTCCGAAACAACATACAACAACTGTAATAAGTGACCACTTCCACGAATATATCTAGTCTACACTATTGTTTGAACCCATCTCAACAATGTTTCCCCTTCATAATACAATGAATTAGTCTAAACTCTTGTTCTAACCCATCTCCGGCACTTCTCCCACCCTTGAAATTAGGTGCAGGTGTTATTAGAAGATCGTGTTAAAATTATCAGAAAAAGTGAAAATGGTTTATCACAATGGCAATTAGCAACGAAGTTTAACTGTGGGAAAATGAAATTGATTTTACTGTAGATCTACAGTATTTTCTTTAAGGGTATAAAATATTGTACACAATACAATTAATCGGCTGATCTCATCGTTTGATAAAATTATTTTATTTATTTAATATTATTATTTTTTTAAGCTTATATACAGTACATGTGCGATAAATAGTTTCTGTATCAACCAACCTTATTTCCACGATATTTTTAGAAAAATAATATCCAAGTAATTTTCGCACGCAAAATTGCAGAAATTGATCGTCAACTCTGGGCTCTCACATCAGTATTACAGTGGTCATTTCTTGTTGCTTTATCATTAAATCTTAATGCTTTTATTAGAAAACTAAGTCTTTTCTCTGACATCACATGTTTTGTAGTTTCTATTGCAAAACTATTTAGTTTATTAATTTTTATTTATAAAATTTTTTAACGTTTTAAAATTTGTTGTAAATTTTACAAATTCATAATTTTTACATAATTAATCTACAGGTAATACCAATTTAAATTAAATTTTATTATTTTTTAAAGGAAATTTTATTTCTTTATTTATCTACTTTAATTTTATTTTACGCAGCATTTTTTTTTTTAATGTTTATAATATATCCAGTTAATTGCCTAATTTTTATTTCAATTTGTATGCAATAATTAGCTAATGTAAGTAGAAAAAATTTTTTGTAAATATTCTCTGTAAACACATACGCATGATTTAATTTATAACTATTATTTATTTTAATAAGATCTGTGTAAAAAGTAAGGACTGAAGAGGGGATGTGGATATGCATTTCAGGTCTTGAGACCTGAAATAGCATATCCACATCCAGTAATAAAGTCTATATCAGTGTTTCTCAATGGGGGCGATATCGCCCCCATGTGGGCATTTTTCCATGTTGAGGGGGCAATTAGTAACAATTTATATTTTGGGGGCAAAAAACAATTTTCTGAGCGATATAGTAAAACATCTTATTAAGAATAATTAGATATTTTATTCGTTATATCGTATAATAATTAAACAAACGACATTATACTAGTTACTAGTCTATTTGCTGCAGTACAAATTTGGCGTTAGCCTTGTCCCTCGGCATTGGAATTTTGTAGTGAAGGGAGTGATACTACGTAACGGTTTTGTTGAAGTTCGTTAGAGGCTGAGAAACACTGGTCTATATCAATAATAGTTTCTTGTGTGATGTAAGTTACTAAAAAAAAGCCAGAATTTTACGCTTAAAAAATCCTCAGAAATTGGTAATGGAAACGATCAATTATGGTATATTTTTTCATATTAAAAAAATAATTGTTTTATAATGTATTAGATTATATAAAATATGAATATTGCACAAACTCTAACTGATCTGCTGTTAATCTATTCTTTTAAATTTGTTGAGTTTGAGTAGTTATTATTATTATTATGAATCTGCAATTCTATTTGAATGTGGATTTATTTTGCAAAATTAGTTTTTCATACATGTTGGTGTGAGTGGTTGCAGGATCCATTAAATTAAAGCTAAAAATAATTCTAAGAAAGTAACATGAACTACAAGAAATGTCATGTGTTAATGTACAAAATTACAATTTTGAGTATATTGCATACAGTAATTTATAGCTTAGAAAACATGATTACAACTGGGATGTGAGTTTATTTCAGCCCATGGGATAATTTAAATCTGCAGATCTAATCATGTTTGCATGGTATATTATATGTAATCAGATTGATGTTTTATAATTAATTTACTCAGTAAATACAATAATTGTATAAAAATTTTTCATGTTAAATTTTAATACTAAATTAAACAATTGCCATAATTAACTGGGCTAATTGAGTACTATATTAATGGTTAACTATTAAGTAATTTGGTACTAGAGGTCAGTCTTAGGTGTAATCACTTATTAAAATTTAATAATTATGATATTTACAAATTAATTTTGAATATTCTAGAAGAAAAGAATCAGCCTAAACTGGGATTCAAACCAGCAACTCTAACTTACCGGTGGATACATTGCCAGTTATGTTACTCAGACCTCCAAGCAATTCTTAGCTTCCAGACATATTTAATTTTTGATACAACTGTCACGGTTAATTATTGATATAACCATTATGGTTTCTCACTCGGTAAAGTGATAGCCAGCTGAATGCCATAGTGGGTAATTTCATAGACCGAGGACATAGGAGTTGGTGCCATGAGCAATTGTGGATGATTATATTGATAACTAAATATGTCTGGAGGCAAAGAATTGCTTGGAGGTCTCGGTAACATAACTGGCAACACATCCACATGGTAAGTGGGAGTTGCTGCTTTGAATCTTACTTTGGGTCAATTTTTTTCTTCCAGAATATTCAGAATTAAATTATAAACATCATAATTATTTAATAAGAAATGGCACCTAACACATCTAGTACCAAATTACTTAATAGTTAATCATTAACGTAGCACTTAATTAGCTTGATCAGTTACTGTGATTGTTTAGTTTATTTAGTATTAATACATTGATCTTTGAGATGTTTACATATGTTAAATTTTAAACTTTTTATAATAATCTTATAAAGTTACTTTGTTAACAGCTTCTACTTTACAACTTGTTAAAACTAGAATATAATAAACACTTTAATAACCTAACAAACCAGCAACAAAATTATAAACAAACTGCAAACATTTTTTGCCCATGTTAGACAGGTATCATCCGGCAACAAATTGCTGATAAAAAAACACTGGGGATTACTGAACACGTGTAGGGAGAAGGGGTGTATGACATAAGAAGAGATGGAGGAAAGGAAATTTATATTTTATAGAAAGACTTTCAGGCAGTGGAGGAGTCATCGTCATTATAGTTTATGGCTGAGTTATGGTGGATGGCCTTGTAAATTTCCACTTGTTTTAGATGTTAAAGGACATATGGTTTAGATTCATTATGTAAGATGTGAGTCTCATGGAAATTATCTGGATGGCTGGATCAGATGCATAGAAAGCCAAAGCAGTATTGATTAAACCTTTTTTGTTAGATGTTTGATGTTCTTTGAGATGGTTATATAACAGGCTAGACATGGCAGTTGTGAAGATGGTCAATGATGAGGATACTGTAGATGCCTGGCTGGTGGTTCTTGTTGGGACGGTCTTTGGCATTGTGGAGGAGAGAGGCAATAGCTGGACTTCTGCAGAATGCTAAATATTTGTTTTTCATGCAATTTCTTTGTAAAGTGTGGCAAGGGACTTGTTGTCGACAGTTTTGAACTTTGTTCCTTCTTGAGAGGGTTTAATTAGCTGGATGGAATCCATGTTGGAAAGATTGCGGAGAAGTCCTCTAATAGTGTGCAGGGAGTAGCCATGCTGGGTTGTGTTCCTTCTACAAAATATAAACTCCCTTTCCTTTTCCTCTCCTCTCTTCTTACATCATACACACCTTCCCCTACACACGTTTTTCAATCCTCGGTGTTATTTTCTCAGTAGTTTGTTTCCTGATGATGCCTGTTTAACATAGGCAAAAACATTTGTACTTTGTTTAGAATTTTGTTGATAGTTTGTTGAAAGTTGAAGTGTTATTGAAGTGTTTATTATTAACTATTACTTTGAAATGTTTTCAATAATTTTTATTTATTGAATATTGCTCGTTAGTAAGTTTTTGATAAAAAAAAAATCTTAATGAAACTTGTTGCCATATTTTTCATTTATGGCAAAGTTTTTAAAAAAGGAGATTGAGAATATTTTAAAATTAAATTAATTATTTTATGTATATGTGTACTTTATAACTGTAGTAAGTATATTCTTATACACCTATAATATATATTTAGGATTGGGCATTAGGAATTCTTCAGACTAAAATCATTTGTGCAGTTACTTTGATGGGTCCAAGCTGGTGGATGAAGAGAGTCATAGAACAAGTAAGTTATTTTTAGAACTGGAGGCAAATTTGATACTAGTTTCAAAAGTAACATGATAAATAACTGTCTTTTGATGTTAAAACTCTTTTAATTAACATAAAATATATAAAAACAAGCACTTTTGACAGTGCATTACCATCTTCCTCAGAAAAATTATTTAGAATGGAATGGTGCCTGAAAAATCTGTTTTTATCGTCATATATTACTAATTAAAACTAAATTATCTTAGATTAATACTAATACTAATAGAATTAGAGAAGGAAGGAAGGAAAATTAGGTTGTTATGGGATCTTCCTTCTTTTGTTTGGCAAGTTGAGCACTTAAGGAAAAAAAGAATGCATGTTTGTTATAAAAAATTAAATTATATTCTCTTCATTGAATTTCTTGTTCAATATTCTAATGTTTGACATTCCATTCTAATAATTTGCTGGGAAAGATGGAAACACATGGTCAAAGGCGCTCGCTTTTATACATTTCATGTCATTAAGCAGTTTTAACACCAAAAGCCAGTTATTACCTGTGTTACAAGTAAGTTATTCAAAAAAATGTTTGTACCTAAAAATATTAATTAGAATGTAGAAAGTAAATGATTCATTTAGATAAGTAGATCTCATGAAATGAAAATAGAAAATAGTTTTCCTTTCAAATTTCTGAAACTTGTCAATAAATTAATTTCTTAATTACACAAATATTTTTGGTATTGTAACAAATGATATGGGATTCTAGAATTATTTTTACATATTGATTTTAAAAAACATACTTAACATATTTATATTTAAAAAAATATAAATACTGTATTTTCAGATTGTCCAGCATTTCAGTATATCCAAGAAAGACCATAAAACCAGATAATTTTGTATGGTAAAAACTGGCTTTATGGTTTATGTGAGGTTTTACATCCCTTTCTAGAGTATGCATGAAAAAAAAGAATGCATTTTTATTCTAAAATTGTGAAAACTGTCAGCATTACATCAAAAACTAAGATTATATGTTTAATTTCTACTTTTTGCCTTCTTTCTAATGTTATCAAATACTCATGGAATGCCCAAAATGTTTTTTGTATGTTTGTTTTATTGTAATTTGATCCATAAATGCAAAAATAAACATCAAATTTCAGAAACTCAGTTTACACTAATTAAATCTGCTTTGTGTGAAAATTGAGAGAAAGGTGTTATTTTTAAGATCTGGACAGATTGTAGGCCACACTGACTGACTAACCACCACTATCACCACCAAGCTACTAATTGTTTTATTGTACTTTAAACTAAAACTCTTTCTGATTTTAAGTCAGTCAAATTACAATGTTATTATTTTATTGTACTCAGAAGAATGTTTTAACATTTACTTAACAACTAGTTTAGCTAGATCTGATTAATTTTATTTTTTAGTCAGAGTTTAACTGGCATGCCAGAAATCTTGGGGTTACTGGCATACTGGTCTCAAACAAAGAGTGAAAGTGTCCTTAGAGGAGTGAAACAAAAATTTCACTTTTCTAAGGGCACTCGTATCCTGTTGTGAACACCAATTATGGGGTGATTCAGGTTAATGAAAACCACGTGTTATAAACAATATACATTAAACTAAGTTTTGTTTAGGAATACAATGACAATATCAATTTATATTCTCTTTTCCATTGTTTTTTCTTAACAGTACTATTCAATTTACTGACAATTACGAATCCCGAAGCTGGTGTGTGGAAAATCTGTTTCCATTGTCTTATATTACTAATTAAAACTAAATTATCTTAGATTAATACTAATACTAATAGAATTAGAGAAGGAAGGAAGGAAAGCAAATTAGGTTGTTACGGGTTCCTCTTCCTTTTGTTTGGCAAATTGGGCACTTAAGGTGTCGATCACACTTAGTAGAGAAATTCAACCTCATCACCTTCGTCGAGACAAAAAACTCCACTTATGACCTTTTCTCTTCTTCTTAATATAACAAATTTTGAGCACTATCTCCTTCATTCCACTACATGAGTCTTCTTTTTTGGATTCCTTCTCCGGTGTAGCCACGAGTCTTCTTCCTGTGCTCTCTTCGCCAAGAATGACAAAAATTGTCCTTTTTACTCCATGCCCTCAGTTGATACTTTTTCTAGCCCAAAACTCACCAGAGGATAAATGTTATATGGTCAAAGGATGTTAGGAAATAGAAAATGATAGAGTTAGTTAGGTAGATTGGATAAAGATGTAAAATTTATCAATTTACTAAAATAAAAAAATATATATATATATTGTGGGACCCACCACAGAACATCACTATGACATAGCTTCTCCACTCTCCACTGCCTTGTCCATATATGCCTCTGATAAAGACATAGAGGCTTTATCCCATCAAGCAACACTTATACTGTACATGTGGCCCAAACAGGTGAAGGTATCTGGGATGTAGAGGTCCTGGAAATTTTTAAAGTTGACAGGAGGGGACATGTATTAATTATAAAGAAGAAAAACAAATCTCATATATACTTGGCAAACAATGTACAATACGGCATTGTCTTTGAAAAGCCATCCAATCAGCATAATCCACAGAATTATGTAATGATGCATGTTTCACGTCATATATCTGTTGATCATGTAGAGTTTTAAATTTTAATTCAAATGATGGCTTCGATGTATTTTCAGTTTATAGAAAGCAGGAAACCTGAACAGAGCTCAGAAGGAGTCCAAAAACATTGTGTACTCATGAAATTTGTTGCTGGACACCCAGAGGTTATATCAGGTATACGAGGGCTATTCGGAAAGTTCACAGCTTCAAATAGAACAACAAACAAAATAATGTTAAAACTTTTTTTGTAATGTGGTCTCCTTTGTTAGCAATGCACTTATTCCAGTGATGTTCTAGCTTTTTCATAACATCACAATAGATCGATTTGTCAAGATGTGCAAAATACTCATTTATTTCAGAGATCACTTTGTCATATGAGTGGAATCTCTTTCCAACCAAGAATTTTTTAGGTTTGGAAAAAGATGGAAGTCACTGGGGGCCAAATCATGTGAGTACGGTGGATGTGGAACTAATTGGAAGTGAAGTTCATTTATCTTTTGTTTGGTAATTCTGACGGAATGTGCAGATGCATTATCGTGGTAGAACAGAACCTTTTTCTTCTTCAAGTGTGGCCTCTTTTCTTCAATTTCTTTCTTCAGTTTTTCCAAAAGTTCACAGTAATAGACAGCATTGATGGTCTTTTCTCTTTCTAGGTAGTCAATAAAGATGATGCCTTTAGCATCCCAAAAAACCAAGGCCATCACTTTCCCCACTGATGGAACTTTCTTTGCCTGTTTTAGTGATGGCAAACTGTGGTGCTTCCATTGCTTCGACTGTTCTTTTGTTTCAGGAGTGTAGTAATGGATCCACGTTTCGTCAGTAGTCACAAACTGACACAAGAAATCCTGTGGGTTTTTCTGGTAGAAGTTCAAACACTCCTTTGACATCAAAGTGTGAACACGTTTTTGCTCAGCAGTCGTCAGACACGAAACCCACCTTGCTGAGACCTTTGTCATACCCAAATTTTTGGTTAGGATGTGATGCACTTGGTCGACAGAGATGCCTGTTGTCTCAGCTATCTCATGCGTTTTCAAACGGCGATCTGCTAACACCAAATTATGAACTTTGTCAATATTTTCTTCAGTAACAGAGGTTGACGGCCGTCTGCTGCAAGGGTCATCTTCCACACTCTCTCTGCCAGATTTAAAAAGGGCTGTCCATTTTTTCACAGTGGTGTACGAAGGAGCAGACTCTCCCAAAACTTCATCCATGTCAGCTTTGATTTGAGATGGGGTGAACCCTTTTTTCGTCAGGTAGTTTATGATCGCACGAGTCTCTGTCTTCTCCATTTTTGACAAAGCATGTGCACACTGACTATCTGCTAAGCTGTCATGGCAAAACTTTATGACAAATCAAGCAGAAATTGGTATCTTATCTTTCGCAAAGATGGCTGAATTATTCCCACCAAAAATTAAATTGATTGCAGCGCTGCATATAGGCAAGGCCGCAAACTTAACGAACAGCCCTCGTATTATACTGTAAATCCAGTTAAAGGGTGATCCTCCACAAAAGGGATGAAAAAATTTTTTCCACTGATGGTCAATTCTCCCATTACATGACCAGTCTGTCATTTTTTCAAGTTTTAGAAGTCTCCATTTATCAATAAGTTGGCTTTTACATACTTTCACTAGTAATGCACAATCCGACTTCAGAATACTTTCACATCCATTCTCATCAGACAAGTTTTTCAAATTGAGGCACGACAAATATTGTGCAATATTTTTTGCACATTTTAATATAGATGTAAATAAGCTGACATTGTTGGAGATCGGGGACTTAAAATCCCACTTCTTGGACACCAGTGTAAGCTCACCTACTTTCAGGGGATATTAGGTAAATCCTGCGTCGGGAAGGCTAGGGTCGCCCATGTGTGGGTGGAGGTGGCAGTGACAAAGATGACAAGTGTTTTACAAAGAAAACCATTTATTGTATCAGAAGATAACTTACATAACAATATGTTAAACACCGTGACAATCAATGAGGATCACATTGATGGAGTTTAGTTTCTCATAGGGAGGTTCTTGTGGCATACACTGATGTGACAGCAAGTGAAGATTCAAGTCCTGTTGGGATCAGCTGGAGGATGGACGGTGGTCCTGGGGCAGTGTTAGGAGAGTGACAGATGGAGAATCATCCAAGTCCCTGTCGCACAACAAAAACTTCGGTTATCCAAAACTCTACTGGATGGAGGATCTCTCTGGCGCATTGACATGCTATGTAAGCATTATCCAAAATGTTAATTGACTGAGTGTGATGTGTCCTTGATTGCAGGTGATTTTATCAATTTCTATCCTTTTTTTTGGCCATTCTGATTGGTCGAGCTCCCTCATTCACGCTTTCTCAGTGGCTGGCCCCTTATTACTAAGTGTAACAGGACTTTTACCTGGAGTGTGTGAGAGGTCAAACACAAAACTGAATTCGACCTTTCAATCAGAAATGGATGGCATTTCTTT